GCAGTCAGACTTGGAATAGCACAGGTGCTTGCAGGGCACGTCAGACATGGTTGCCGCGTGTAGTAGCCAGCCAGGGCAGTGTGTGTGCGCAGAATTCTGGCAGCGTTTTAAAAACGCTGCTGGCAAAGGCCCGACTCGGCCGACTGGATGGAGTCGGTGACAGCGAGTGGCAGTGGCTGTGAGTCAGAGAAACTGGAGCATTTAGAGGGACAGTCAGAGGCAATGACACAAATCAAAACACCTTCCCCCCAAAACCCTGAAGGGAGCAGCTTAGGCAAAACCAGCCCTTCAGTGCATGTGCATCTTTCTGACAAGCCGCCTGTCAAACTTGGGAAACGTATCATGGTCATGATATGTGGTATCAATCCAATGTACTGTGTGCAGTTTTGATGAACAAACTCACCAACTGTCGTTACCCTGACGTACACCCTCATTTCCCTGCACGACTCCTCACACTCACCCACCCCATGGCCAGTCTCAGATTTCTCGGGGGAACATGTCGTAGACTGGCGTCTGAAGCACTGCTAAACATTGATGTGTGTGCTGGGTTTCTTCAGGTGGCCTGTCAGACAAGTGAACATGTCGAGTCCTCGGCATCCTCGCAAGGCCAGGGCCATAAGTCTGCTGCTTGACACAGGTTAATGAGTGAGTGCCAAATTAATTTTTGATTTCTGATTTTGTCGTGCTGAGTGACACAGTATGCACACAACTGCTCAGTAAGACTTTTCCCAGATGCCCTACCAACAGACCGAGCACGGACCACCTTTATGAAAACGCCGGTTCCTACATCGTTGGGCAGGAGTGGGGCTGAGGGTGCTGGGAAGGGCCTGGGGAAACTTCGGCCAACACGGCGTCAGACAGCACGGCTAAGCACTGATGCGCGTGCTGGGTTTCCGCAGGTCAGACATGAATGAGTGCAGCGTTCTGCATGTCCAAGTCTTCATTTGGCCCTGGCGGTAGTACCCAGCAGCTCAAGAATGGAAGGCCAGATCCTGTCTAGTGAGTCTAGTACTGTCTGTCAATGCTGTTTGATTGGTTTGCCTGCGTTCTTGAAATAAACCATATGCGTGCTGAAAGTGATAGTTCTGTCAAGCTTCTTGCGCGTATGGCGAGTCCCTGCCAGCATATTATTTCTTAGACATGCTGGCCAGCAATGGCAATGCGTCCGTAGTATATGTAGCCGCCGCTTCTGGTGATTCGGACGCCCTACCAAAGGACCGAGCACGGACCAGGTATAAAGTGCCGGTTCTTACACCGTTGGCCGGGTGTGGGGCCTGGGAAGGGCCTGCGAGATTTTGGCCAACACGCCTTGGTCCGGCGTCAGACAGCACGGCTAAGCGCTGATGCGCGTGCTGGGTTTCTGCAGGTGGCCTGTCAGACTTGAACGAGTGAACACTTCTTCAGTCGGTACCCAGCATCCTCTGGCATGGAAGGCTGTCGTAAGTCTTGGACATTGATTTGCTGCTTGACACCTGTTACAGCTTTGTCATTGTGCGTGTGAGACACAATCTCAGGCGTCTCACTGGTGAAAAGTGAAGGGACTTGCTTCTTGCTACAGTGTGAGACTCCTCGGGTGCTTGCTTCTGAGTCAGACGCCCTACCAAAGGACCGAGCACGGACCAAGTATAAGTCGCCGGTTCTCACATCGTTGGCCGGGTGTGGGGCTGCGTGTGCTGGGAAAGGTCTGCGGAAATTTTGGCCAACACGCCCTGGTCCGGCGTTTGACAGCATGGCTAAGCGCTGATGCGCATGCTGGGTTTCTGCAGTGGGCTTGTCAGACAGAAATGAGTGCAACATTCTTTGTGTCGATACCCGGCACCGTCTGGCATGGAAGGCCTACAGACTTACTGCTTTTGGGCTGGGGGTTGCTGGCTGTGTGTCTGTTAGCTCTGACAAGTCGTCGTAGCTTTTCCGAGACTGCAAATTCAAGGTTTTGCCTGTTGTGTGCGAATGCTGTCAGATGATTAATAATGACTCAAATTTTAAATCTTTGGACGAGAAGGCTTGCCAGTCGCTTTTGGTCTGAGTCAGACGCCCTACCAAAGGACCGAGCACGGACCAGGTATAAAGTGCCGGTTCTTACACCGTTGGCCGGGTGTGGGGCTGAGTGTGCTGGGAAGGGCCTGCGAGATTTTGGCCAACACGCCTTGGTCCGGCGTCAGACAGCACGGCTAAGCGCTGATGCGCGTGCTGGGTTTCCGCAGGTGGCCTGTCAGACTTGAACGAGTGAACACTTCTTCAGTCGGTACCCAGCATCCTCTGGCATGGAAGGCCGCTTGACACGTGTTACTACTGTTACTGCCGTCTCTTTGAAATTTTGCGAGTGTGAGTGATCTGACAGCTTGATTTTCCAGCTTTGGTTAAATACAAGTAAACGGACGTGATTGTGGCACAGTGTCAGATTTCTCGCCCGCTGGGTTCTGAGTCAGACGCCCGACCAAAGGACCGAGCACAGACCAAGTATAAGTGCCGGTTCTCACATCGTTGGCCGGGTGTGGGGCTGAGGGTGCTGGGAAGGGTCTGGGGAAACATTGGCCAACACGCCCTGGTCCGGCGTTTGACAGCACGGCTAAGCGCTGATGCGCGTGCTGGGTTTCCACAGGTGGCCTGTCAGACTGGACGAACATCTATCCAGTTGACGATCCCCAGTATCCTCTGGCGTGGAAGGCCATTACTTCGACTGCTGCTTCACACATGTGTTACTCTGTTACTCCCGCCTATTTGCAGTTTGCGTGTGTCAGACAATGAAAATTCAATTATCCTTTCAGTCAAATTTCAATTGATGAACTGCTTCTTGCATCTGAGTCAGACGCCCTACCAAAGGACCGAGCACGGACCAGGTATAAAGTGCCGGTTCTTACACCGTTGGCCGGGTGTGGGGCTGATTTTGCTGGGAAGGGCCTGCGAGATTTTGGCCAACACGCCTTGGTCCGGCGTCAGACAGCACGGCTAAGCGCTGATGCGCGTGCTGGGTTTCTGCAGGTGGCCTGTCAGACTGGACGAGTGAACACTTCTTCAGTCGGTACCCAGCATCTTCTGGCATGGAAGGCCCCCTTGTCCTGGTTTTTTGAACGTCACAGTCACATCATTGCCTGAGTTTGCTGCAGTTTCCAAGGCCACTGATGAGTGAGTGCAGCGCGGATGATTGTCTGCTCCTAACAGTACGACAGTCAATAAGATTCTGCTAGGCAACATTCCCGTCAAGGCTTTGCCAGGCAAGTTCCTAAGTCAGACCAAGTTTCACCGTCAATGTCACTGTGTTGTGTCAGACCTGTTACTCCTTATTTCGTGCAAGCTTACAATTGCCAGCCGCTGCTTTGCAAAAAGGGTTCTTTGCAGCTTCAAGTAACTCTGCATGTGCAACATGTGTTTTTATCTTGCTAGTCTGACAGCTGTATTATGCCCAGTAGCAACCTTTGAAAAAAAAAGCTTAAAAGCTTCAACTTCTTTTATGGCCAGAACTCGGGATTCAAGATATATATATTTTTATTTATTTATTTTTTATTTTATTTTATTTTTATTTTTTTTTTGGGGGGGGGTGGTGGGTTGGGGGTTTAGGAGTCTAGGATTTAGGAGTTTAGGAGTTTAGGGTTACGGTCTAGGGGTTTAGGAGTTTGTCGGAGTTTAGGGTTTGGGATTTTGGAGTTTAGCAGTTTAGGTTTTAGGGTTTGGGAGTTTTGGGGTTGATGTTCGCCCTTGGCAAGTCCGAGCCCTCAGCCGCGTCTATGTGTGCTCCGTGCGACCTCACAACTTCACCCAGCCCCGGACTCCAATCCCTAAACCCTAGACCCTAAACCCTAAACCCCTTCCGTCCCGAGGCCAAGTAAGATCCATTTCGTGTCGGGCAAGATCAACATCGTCGTCTTCCACTAATCGCGGTGAAGCCCCATCCGGTTTAGGGTTTAGGGTTTAGGGTTTAGGGAGAGCGGTTCACGAACCCTAAAGCATCAAACCTAGAACTCCAAGTTGCCCTCTCTTGTGAAAGCCCTAAACCTCGATGTCTAAATATGGCCATAAGCCCTAAAGAAGGTTATAACCAGAGTTTCCCTACTTATAACCGACTGAGAGGTACCCATGAACAGCCAAGTGTAGCCTTCGTCTTGAGGGGAACCTCTCTGCTGAGAAAATGCAGCGCGCTCCGGCTTCATCTTCAGGGTACTTGGGGCCACCCGAAGCAGAAGGATAACAGCAAGGTTTAGGGTTTAGGTTTTAGGGTTTAGGGTTTAGGGTTTAGGCTTTAGCGTTTACAGTTTACGGTTTAGGTATTAGGGTTTAGGGCATTAGGCCCTAGGCCCCAAGGAAACCCTAAGCCACAGGGTACTGGGGCACAGTCGGAACACTAGGGTGTAGGGCATTGCAAACCTCAGCCCTGAACCATTTTGAAGCTTCAATGGGCGTGGAAGTTTCCCTGGACCCTGGAGTTTAGGGTTTAGGGTTTTAGGGTTTAGGGTTTAGGGTTTAGGGTTTAGGGTTTAGGGTTTAAGGGATAGCACCCTTCCGAAGAAGCCTTCTGGGGGAATCCAGAGGCATGCACGGGATCATAGGTTCATGTAACCCGAATAGGAGTGCCCCGAATATACCACGCTATTTACCAAGATCCTTATGACAGGAACCCTGAAACCCCTGAATTAGGGTTTAGGGTTTAGGGTTTAGGGACTGGAGTTTCGTTGCCAGGTCAGCAGCGACTACCTGCAGCTCTACGCCATGGGCTTTCAGATGTTGTTCTCTGCTTGTTATTGAGTTGACTTTGGGGCTTCAAGAGTTTCTTGGGCTTGTAGCCCTGAACCCTAAACCCCAAACCCTATACTCTCAGCCCTCAACCCTAAACCCTAATTAACCCCTAAACCCTATCCCTAAACCCTAAACCCTAAACCCTAAACCCTAAACCCTAAACCCTACTATATCTTATCTACAAGTAGCCCCCAAGTAGCCCTCAGTTCTCCCCTGCGGCCCCTTGTAAGGGTTCCCGCCTGCAGTCCCTCGACCCCCTCGCCATGCAGGCCTTCCGACCCCTGACCGCCCTTGTCCACAAGGCGGGATTGGGGGTTTTATTGTTCAGGGTTAGGGGTTTAGGGGTTAGGGTTTAGGGTTTAGGGTTAGGGGTGTAGTGTTTAGGGGTTAGGGTTTAGGGTTTAGGGTTGAGGGGTTCAGGGTTAGTTTAATTAGGGTTTGGGGTTGCGGAATTTTGTCAGCTGTAAGTCCACGAGGTAGGTGTAGCATGTAGATATGGAGAGTCCCGCAGTGGGTCTTAGCCCCGTCTTGGCGTCTTCTTTGATTCTGTGACGTTTAACGCCTCAAGCTCTGAGCCCCGCTTGGCCACAGCTTGGGGTTTTGGGTTTTGGGTTTCGGGTTTTGGGCGTTGGGTGTTGGGTGCACTTGCCGATTTTGGGGGCTTGGCACCCGGTGTCGCTGACATGGCGAGAAGCACCCCCATCAACTGACCTGATGGTTCATGGGGTACTTGCAGGGTTATAGTGCCCTAAACAGGGCAAAAGCCATATATTACCGGACCCGTAACCCTACTTATGACCCTAGACCCTAAACCCTAAACCCCAGACCCTAAACCCTAAACCCTAGCCCTAAACCCTAAACCCTAAACCCCAAACTTATCCCTAAACCATAACCCGCAGACGCCACAACAGGAGACCCAGAGTGAGAAGGCGCGGCACCAGGCCAGGACAGGGTCTGAGGGCTGCGTTTAGGGCTTAGGGCGTAGGGTTTAGGGTTTAGGGTTTAGGGTTTAGGGTTCAGGGGCTTAGGGCTTTAGGTCTTAGGGTTTAGGCCTTTAGGGTGTAGGGCTTTGGGTTTGGGGTTCGGGCTTTAGGGTTTGGGCTTTGGATTCAGGGCTTGAGGGTGTAGGGCTGAGAGGGTTCAGGGCTTTAGAGGGCGTGGAGTTTGTCTTAAGTCACACGGTCCCTGAATATGGTCCCTTACCTTATGTAAGCGTTCTGAAGTATGGGCCCTTGGGTTGTATGGGGTTTTGAAGTGGCATATAAGGGGTCCCCATTTCGGGGGCCATACTGAGGGACCATGCAACTACTTTCAGAGTTTAGGGTATGAGGTTGAGGGCTTAGGGTTTAGGGCTTAGGGTTTGAGGTATGGGGTTTTGGGTTTTGGCTTGGACGCGTAGCGTGTCAGGGATTTGGGCTTTGAGGACTATGGGTTGGGAGAGGGTGACTGGACAGGGTGTTGGGGTGGTGGGGGCCGTTTGAAGGGTTTGAAGGATTTGAAGGGCTTGGGCGCTAAATGTTTGTATAGGGCTGAGGGTTTCCATGGGGTTCGGCGTTGATGGCCTTGGGTTTAGTTGCGGGGCTTGCAGAGATTGAGTTTTTGGTGGGGGGTTTGGGGGGCTTGCTCGGGGCTTGGGGGGCTTCGGCATTAAGGGCGACAGCCCTGAAACCTAAGTAGAGAAATGGGTTTGGTAGGCCCTAAACCCTAAACCCTAAACCCTAAACCGTAAACCCTAAACCCTAAACCCTAAACCCTAGTGTTCTTGGTAGAATGTGAGGGGCTGCAGGGGACAAGGTCGCCGGGTTCTCTGGCTCCATTTGCCTACTTTCCGGAACATGCCCTACATTGGGGGGGGGGGGGGGGGTTACATCTTGCCATTTTTTAGGCTTTGTGGGTTTAGGGTTTATGGGGGGTTAGGGTTATGGGGTTGAGAGTTTAGAGGGTTTTGGCTTCGGATGGGCTTTGGGCTTCGTAAGGTTCAGGTTTCAGGGTTTCGGGGGGTTGCTGCCGAGCCCGCTACAGACTTCGTCGCCAGGAGTTTCTCCAGATTCACGCAGAACGCGAGCGGATTCTCAAGTGGCAGGACTTTCGCCACACCATGCACACCGTAAGCCTGGAACCGGAAACCCGAAACCCTGCAGTAAGCCCTAAACCCTATGCCCCTGATCCGCTTTCAGGGAGCTTGAGAGAAATTAGTGTTTTCGGGCTCAGGATCTATTGCTTCAGCCTCGCTTCACAGAGGACGTATGGACTGTAACCGCAAACCCTGAACCCTAAGCCCTTTCTGAAAACCCTGAACCCTAAACCCTTTTTGGAACCCTAAGCCCTAAGCCCTAAAGTAGGTTCTAGGGTCCAAGATGTCTGTTCGCCAGCTTGGGAAAATTTGGTCGCAACTCGTGTGAGGCGCTTCGCAGTTTGCCAGGCTTGCTGTGACACCCCCAAGTAGGGTTTAAGGCCGGTTTAGGCTAGAACTATGGCCACCTATTGTGTCAACTGCTCTGATCATGAGAGCAAGCAATACTTCAGACGCCTTGCAGAGAAGCCTCAGGGTTGAAGGTATAGGAAATACTGGGGCCATTTTGGGGGAGCAGAATGATCTGAGGACCTTCTTGAAATCCTCAACTCTGAACACGTAAACCCCGAAACCATAAACCTGAAACTCTTGGCCCTGAAGCGATATAGCCCTGAAACTCTGAGGCCCCTTAGGCCTGCTCAAACCGTAACCTCTTTTAAGCCTCTAAACCGGTTTCCCCCCCAAGGGCCCCGAACTGAAACCCTCCCCCACATACCCCTAAACCCACTCGGGGCTACAGCTCTAACCCCTGAACCCTAAACCCTAAACCAAAAACCCTGAACCCTAAACCCTAACCCTAAACCCTAAACCCTAAACCCTAGCCCTAAACCCTAAACCCTAAACCCTAAACCCTAAACCCTAAACCCTATCTCAGGGGGGGGGGATTGTTGAACTCCCTTTGAGGACGTCCGAAGCTGCCCTCCGCAATTCCTGGAGCCTTTGACTTGTTAGTTTGTTGTGTGCTTTCCTGGTAGGCCCTTGGGACATTTTATGTTTTACCTTTCTTGGGTTTAGGGGGGTTTAGGGTTTAGGGTTTAGGGTTTAGGGTTTAGGGTTTAGGGTTTTGTTGTTTTTTAGGGTTTGGGTTCCCTGAGAAGTCCCTGTAAACCAAAAAAAGGCACCCTTTCTCTTCCTGGGCTACTGTTGGGTTCTTGAGACCAATGTGGGGGTTTATGATACCAATGGACTCCCAATGTAGACACCCAAATACAAGGATCCCCGGATAGTAATTCTACCAATAAGGCAGCCTAAACCCCAAACCCTAAACCCTAAACCCTAAACCCCAAACCCAAACCCTAAACCCCAAACCCCTAATATTGGAAGCCCCCCATGTTGGAAAGGTTGAATGGAGTTCCGTCCTCATCCCGCGCCCCAAGCACCAAGGATCAAACGCTGCTGCACGGAGAGGAAGTTGCCAAGGCATTGCCTCTCTGGTGTTGGGGATTGTTTGGTGTCTGCAAGGGTTGAGGGTTTAGGGGGTTTAGGGTTTAGGGTTTAGGGTTTAGGGTTTTTAGGGTTTAGGGAGTTTAGGGTTTAGGGGCTAAGAGGGTTGCGGTTTTGCGTGCGAGGCGTGATTGGCCCGCAGAGGGTGTTGTGGGAGAGCGCGACGACGCTCTCGGAGACAGTATATCAATTTAATAACCCGCAACACCCTATTCTAGTTATTGAGCCCCTATGTTATATGGTTTGGACACCTCACCCTAACACACCCTCCGTAGCATCCATGAATCCGTCTTCTAAGGAGGGCCACAGGTATCAAAGCGTCCTGGTACTCGCATATGAGCCGCAAAAATAGGGTTCATGTTTTGGTCCAGGGTTCATATACTTCACTCTGTGCCTTTCCCCTAAACCCTGAAACCCCAAAACCCCTAGACCTGGATGCCTGCCTTCTGGCTGTCTAAGCCCTAAACCGCCCAAAACGAGCGAGAGAGAGACAGAAAGAGAGAGAAAGAAACCCTAAACCCTAAACCCTAAACCCTAAAACCTAAACCCTAAACCCTAAACCCTAAACCCTACACAAGTGAAGCCTTCACCAGGCGAGCAACATGTCCACCGGCGCGGCATGCCAAAAGGCTGGGGACTGATTGCTGCTTTTATTTTGTGGCTAGGATGCCAAATAGTACCCTTACTCCCTTACTCCCTTTTTGTTTTTATTGTATTATTATTATTAATATTATTATGTTCATTGTTAAGGGGGGTTTGATTGTATTAATATTTTTATTATACATATATATATATATATATGTTTCTTTATTTATGGGTGTTTGGGGTTCTCTTATAAACCCCTTTTAAGCAAAACAAGTACACCTGTTTTAATCCGAGGTTACTGGGCAACCTCGGATTTGGGGGTTTGGAGCTTATCAGTCTTACAGGGTTTACGAAACTTGTGGGTTGGGATGTTCACCCTTGTACCAGCTGTCCTTCTTTGGGGATTAAGTCGGGATTAGGGACTGTTAGTTTAAGACTTCACAATTGGGTTTTGGCCTTCAGGGTCTCGAGGTGGATCGGGCTTAAGGACTCCCCTAAACCCTAAACCCTAAACCCTAAACCCTAACCCCCAAGCCGGTTGCTGCTGTGGCGAAGGCAGGGAGGCAACCTGAGATCACAAAACGCTAAGCCCTATTAGCCTAAACCCCTGCTAAAGTGGGCTCTGACCAACATGTCAACAGAAGCCCTAAACCCTAAACCCTGAACCCTAAACCCTAAACCCTGAACCCTAAACCCTAAACCCAAAACCCAAAACCCAAACCTTATGCCACTCCATCTCGAAATTCCGGGTTCCAACTCTTGGGTGTGCCGTTCAGGATGTTTAGACTCAGGACGTTGAGGGCTTAGGGCTTAGGGCTTAGGGCTTAGGGTTTAGGGTTTAGGGTTTAGGGTTTAGGGTTAACCGAAGCCCTAAGCCTCAATCCTGCAACCAAACCAATCTCTGTTCGTTCTCAGCACGTCAGAAATTGGTTTGAAATTGGGATGGGGGGGGGAACAATCGACTTCTGGGTAGTGCCCCTTGCTGCTGCTCATTTGGAAAGACGCCTTTCTAGGATATAGTCTATAGGGTTTAGGGTTTAGAGTTTAGGGTTTCGGGTTTAGGGTGTAGGGTTTAGGGTTTAGCAAGCAGCCTAGGCGGCAGGTCAGTGGCATTGCATGTCAGTTTTGCTGTCGGCCTGTCGGCCTGTCGGCTGCCCTAGGCCGCTGGTAAACCCTAAACCCCTAAACCCTCTCAAGCTTAGGCTCTTTCGCAAACCCTAAACCCTAAACCCTAAACTCTTTTCCTTGGCTCAGGCCTGCACCGAAAAGTCGGACTGCGACGCGTTCGTCTGGTCAGCCAGCACAGGCCCTCTGCCAGGGTTCTGCAGGGATGGGGGTTTTGGGTTGACCCCTTTTGACATGGAACCCTATCTGCTGGAACCCCTCAACCCCTAAACCTACTATTTCCTCAAATATTAATCATCATTATTCTTCTGATGATAATTCTTATTTTCATTATTATTGTTCTCACTGTCATTGTTATTATTATTATTATCATTCTTATTATTATGATGCTTTATTTGTGTTGTTGTTTTTTTTTCCTTGGGGGGGGGGGGTGGTGAGGGCGGGGGTCGGGGTGGGGGTTCCCAAGCGCTTCTTTGCTTGCAGGGTTACGGGTTCAAAGCCAACCTAAGTCGCAGTTACTTGACCTGGTAACTTCTTTCAACACTCGGTGGAGCCGAAGCCGTTCGACTGTGTAAGACTGCGACCTTTGGGAAAAACCAGCCAGAGTCGTGCAAGTGTCCACGCGATCGAGCTGAGAGTGCCTGGGTGCTTCCACCTGGATAGCAGGAAGGTTTCAACACCCCTTGAGCTGCTTGAGCTGCCGGTGGCAGGGTTTAGGGTTTAGGGTTTAGGGTTTCGGGTTTAGGGTTTCGGGTTTAGGGTTTAGGGCTGCAGGAGGCCAGAGCAGGGCTTGAGGATCTGAAGAGGTGCTCCGCTGTTCGGTCCGCGTGTGCCTGAGCGCCAATCGATGGAGCTGACAGATCGGGCTTGGAAACCTTGGTAGCCCCGTGATACCCTCTACCCTTTGTTTTTTGTTTATGCTTTCCCTCCTTATCATAATATGGGTACTGGGATACCCTGGCATGCATTCTAGTTAGTGGCCCAGTGGTACCCTTTTCTTTTTATGTTATTAGTTTTTTTTTGTTTGGGGGGGGGGGAGTTCAAGGTTCCCTTATAAGGTGACCAACCCAAAAAGGGGTGCCCTTAAACCCTAAACCCTAAACCCTTATTATAATATGGTTACCGGGCTACTAAGTTCGAGTTAATGGCGGGGTGTAGGGTTTAGGGGAGTAGGGTACATATAAACCAATGATAAGTGACTTGTAAGCCCTTTAATTACCCTAATAGGCTATAACTGGGTTATAAGTACAGTTGTAATTGGTTTACTAAGTACCATGAACCTCCAAGTAGGGTCTGGTTGTCGGGTTCAGGGTTTAGGGAGTAAAACCCTGAACCCGAAGTTTAGGGTTTTGAGTGAAGGGTTTTTGGGTGCAGGGCTCAGGGTTGCAGGCTCTCATCAGGCAATCGACTTTTTTCCCGTCGAAGGTTCACGCGTGCGCGCGCGCTCGCCGCACGGGATTTGATACACAGCCCGTTTTTTCGCAGCATCAACCTCCTCACGCGGCAACGGATGCACATGAACGACTCTGCGAAGGTAGGCTTCTCGGTCTCACGCAGGGAGCACCCAGATTTGAGGACCTCCACCCACAACTCAACCCCTAAACTCCAAACCTCAAACTTTAACCCCAAACCCTACAAACGCTATAAACCCTATAAACCCTAGAAACCCTAGAAATCTTAGAAGCCCTAGAAGCCCTAGAAACCCTAGAAACCCTAGAAATCCTAGAAACCCTAGAAACCCTAGAAACCCCGAAACCCTATAAACCCCATAAACCCACGCATGTAGTCTTGTGGTGCAGCACCGCGGAATGGCTCTCCTCGTCGTTATTAGATATAGAGGACTTGCAGGGAGCCATCCTGGACGTGGGGGCCCCAACCCCCCCCCACCCCCGCCCCGCCCCTCCCCTGGAATCCTATGATGCAAAGAAAAGAAAAAGGGTACCACTGGGCGAGAAAAACCCTACAGTACGTAGACCCCAAAATCCTGAACCCCCTGAAGCCTGAACCCTGAACCCTGAACCCTAAACCCTAAACCCTAGACCCTAGACCCTAAACCCTAAACTCTAAACCCTAAACCCTAAACCCTAAACCCTACACCAACTTCTAAGCTGAAAGCGTGGAGGTTCCTGCCTCATGGTGGCCCTGCCGGCTGGCGAGGCACATGGCTTCCCTTGTGAACCCAAGCAAGCGCGACAGGGGTTTAGGGTTTAGGGCTAGGGTTTAGGGTTTAGGGTTTAGGGTTTAGGGTTTAGGGCTTAGGGCTTAGGGCTTATAATATAGGGTTTAGGGTTTAGGACTTATGATTTAGGGTTTAGGGTTTAGGGCTTGGGGTTTAGGGTCTACCTGAGTCACGTAAATTGACCCAACAATGTTGGCACAGTTCCCTCTCCAGGTGGGGTTTTATTTTGGTATGTCTCCCATGATGCGGATAAGGCTTTCCCGGATGATTTCGGATTTGGGTTTAGGGCTTGTAAAAGCTCAAAACCAACAACACCAGCTGCCCCGCCCTCCCTCGGTTAGCCCTGAGTCACTAAACCCTGAACCCTTAACCCTAAACCTTTTGATCCGAAAACCCTCAATCTTTGCTAGCCTGCTCAAGCAGACCGACAGACCCCCCACGAAGCGAACCCACACGGGGGTTTAGGGGGTTTAGGGTTCATATGGGGGGGCTTTAGTATTGTTGGCTTCAGGTGTTGTGGGGTTGAGGGCTTTCCATTAAAATGCCCTACGCACCCCGATGAAGGCACACTAAGGCCCTCACTAGAGGGCTACTTGGGGGTTCCAGGTACATTCCAAGATCGCTGGCGAGATGAGATGCACAGTTTGATTGGTTTAGGATTTGGGGTTTGGGTTTAGGGTTTAGGGTTCGGGGTTTTAGGGTTCGGGGTTTAGGGTTGAGCTTTGACTACTTGACTACCCTAAACTCTATGCCCGGGAGGGGGGGGTGGAAGGAACCTGCCTTGCCCTCGTTGTGCTGAGACCTTGGCTTGTGGGTTGGGTTCAACTTAGCTTTCCCGCCCGCTCGCAGGTGAACGCGGCAATGACGCCCAAGGACGTGGTGCTTCACCCTATAGACCCTAAGCCCTCAAGGTTTCAAAGGAAGTGTCTTACGGTGAACTTCTCCCTCTTGATGTCGAGTATTTCGATCAGAAGACTGGTGAATCCCATAGTATGCTATCGTACTATCGTCAGTACAAGTGGGGTACGATTGCGGTGGAGGGGACTAAACGAACCCTAAACCCTAAACCCTAAACCCTAAACCCTAAACCCCAAACCCCAAACCCGAAACCCTAAACCCTAAACCCTAAACCCTAAACCCTAAACCCTAAACCCTAAACCCTAAACCCAAACAATTGAAGGAAGGCTTGATTGCCGGGTTGCCCTGCTGCCGACCGAGCACAGAGAAGCAGAATGAGGTCTGGCTTCGGGATTTGGGGTATTTAGGGACGAGATCCGGAATCCCTAAATCCCATCATTCCTTGTGCGCCCCAAAATTGGGGCGGGGGGGGGGGGGGGGGGGGGGGGGGGGGGGGGGGGGGGGGGGGGGGGGGGGGGGGGGCTTTGGGGTGTTTAGGGTTTCGGGTTCAGGGTTTAGGGAGGGTTTTAGGGTTTAGGGTTTAGGGTTTAGATACTACGATGCCTGCAAGTAGTACCTATGCCCACGAGTAGCTCCTTCATTCCCTTTGAGGATGGCGCATGCATGGTCCTTTATGAACTGCACTATGCAAGGGTTTATGGCACGATGCAAATTTCCACCCTAAACCCCAAACCTCCGGGTTGCTAGGCTGGCTAGACAGCAGCGAGCCCATGGTAGACAGAGTGAGCCCATGGGTTGCGATGCTTTGTGGATAGAAGCTCCGAACATGTCCCGCCAACGGGGCTTACTTGGCTTACATGTGAACGCGGCGCATTCCAAAAGCCTCAACCCTTAAACCCTTTACTCCACAGGCTTCGTACACAGATTTTGCGAAATTGTTTCAACTGCAGATCGCACGATGTAGAATTGCCCGGAGACTTCAATACCCCTTGATTTTACGCAATATTCCTTAAAGTACAAGAGGGTTCCTTATATGGTTTTGAGGAATCTTTTTTAAACAAGGGGTATTGGAGCCGCGGGTGTGGGTCTCTGGGCACCCCTAAACCCCCTAACCCTGAGAACCCCAGACCCTAAATGCACTTGCCGTTGACTCGGCAGGCTTGATGGGATTGAGCTAAGGGCTGGCTTGTGGCTGAACCTCATTGAGTTTAGTGGGCTTGTCCTTAGCAGGGAATGAGCTCGTGGATTGTGAGTGGCGAAACCAAGCGAAACGTAGCAGTTTGTCTCTGTCCGACGTCTGTGGTATGGCCATCCATCGCGGTGCGCCAGGGTTTAGGCTTTAGGTTTTAGGGTTAGGGTTTAGGCGGCGGGATGGCAGGGAAAGGGGGACGGGGGGCTGCGGTGCTGGGGGCGTTGCGAGTGGGTAGTCGTGGCCGGTCATCCAACAAAATTTTCCTCAGCACAATTTTGGAAGCAATTGCCAGCACCGAGTCTTCTGACTGAGGGTAGAATGTAGACATTCCTCAACGAAGTTGACGCCGCGAACGGACAGGCAACCTACCGAAAAGACCGTCCATATCCTCTCTTACTGTAATAAACAGTAGTGTTGCACGCACAACGTCAAAAAGAGCCCAGGAATACATCATGTGAGAGGCATGTGCGAATCAAAGTTCGTGGTCAAGCCCCGGAGGTCTACAAAGATTGCCCTGAGCATCTTGCAGACACCACTTTGCAGACGTCGTCAGGCACGGCCCGATTCAGTGTGAATGTGTATGACATGCTTGCATGAGGATTTCGTACGTTTTCCACGCACACATGCTTCGCCACGTTTTTGAAACGGAGCTTTGCGGGTGGCCTTTTTCCAAATCCTCCCACGAGCCAATGTTCATTCAAGTTCCCAAAAACGACTGTGAGCATAATATTGCTGGAGATCCGAAAGTCCACTCCTTGGTAGGCCCTTGGGACTTTTTGTGTTTTCCCTTATTGGGTTGAAGAGGGTCATATTCAGGAATATGTTTCAGAGGGTCTTAAGGGCAATCCTAGACTCCTATCTTTTCTGCATGTGCTTGCAAGCGGCGAGCACGGTTGAAGTTTGGGCACTGGGAATTGCTATGACCCAATGCAAAGGACTTCCAAACTCAGAACGGAAAGAGGTAGAAGGGGGAGGATGATATTTATGTTGGTGCGCTTCAGACACTAGTTTCACTAGTTCCCGCGGCCGTTGATCCACATCTCGTCCTGCGCAGTCTTGCTCCAGCTCGGCGGCATCAAGTCCGCCTATGATTGCCAAGAGGCCAAACTCGGGGAACAATTTTAAGGGTATAGGGTTTAGGGTTGAGGGTTTCGGGTTGAGGGTTGAGGGTTTAGGGTTAGGGATCACTTGTGCAACTGGACCTTAAGCACGGTAGCTGAGAGCCCAAATTAGATTGTTGAGATAGCCGAACAGGGCATCTGGGCATGAGCTGGATCAACCTTAAACCCTCAACCTAAACCCTAATTCCTAAACCCTTGTCCCTTTGTCAAGGGTTAAGAGTCTGGGGCCTTGTGGGAATTAAAACCGCTACAAAACCCTAAGCCGTTCATGTAAGTACAAGCCCTCTTCTCTGAGTGGACCCTTGGGGGAGGGGGGGGAGGGGTCCTTCAAATACCAGTAGTGCCCTTATTCCCTTTTTGGGGGGGTTTGGGTTTAGGGCATTGGGCTGAGGGCTTCAGGCTTGGGGTTTAGGGTTCCTCAAACCCTAGACCCTGCACCCTAAACCCTACACCCTAAACCCTACACCCTAAACCCTACACCCTAAACCCTAAACCCTAAACCCCAAACCCTAAACCCTAAACCCTAAACCCTAAACCCTAAACCCTAAACCCTAAACCCTAAACCCTAAACCCTAAACCCTAAACCCTAAACCCTAAACCCTAAACCCAGCCCCCTGTCCGCATTCAGCTCAGCAGGCCTGCACCAAGCGATTTGATTGCGGAGCCTTCTCTTACGGCTGCTCGCCTTGCGGAAGCCAGCTTTTTCCTGCTGAGCCTTACTAGTGTTTAGGGCTTAGGGTTTAGGGTTTCGGGTTTAGGGTTTCGGGTTTAGGGTTTAGGGTTTAGAGTTTAGGCTTAAATATGGCCTGTAATTAAACCCTAGACAGACAAGATCTTTTGCAACAAAAACCCCCAACCCCTTCACAACTCTTCCAGAACACTCTCTTGCAACCCGAAAGCAAGGCCCAAAAAAACCCAGGCCAAACCTCAAGACCTTTAATTTATATTTTTAAAATTTAAGCCCTAAACCCCAAAACCTAACCCTAGACCCCACTCCAAATCCCAAAGCCTGACCCTAAACTCCAAACCCAGAACCCCAAACCCTAAACCCTAAACCCCCAACCCCAAACATCAAACCCTAAACCCTAAACCCCAAACCCCAAACCCTCAACCCCAAACCCTCAACCCCAAACCCCAAACCCCAAACCCTCAACCCTCAACCCCAAACCCTAAACCCCAAGCCCTGAACCCTAACCATGGTCCTGGTTGAGCTCAGGGCTGCCACCCGGCGTGCCTGACAATATGCCACCCGGCCTCTACGGGTTAGGGTTTAGGGTTTAGGGTTTAGGGTTTAGGGTTTAGGGTTTAGGGTTTAGGGTTTAGGGTTGCTTAGGGTTGAAGAGGGTAGGGCTCATGGCCCTTACAAGGACTTTGGGATTTCAAGGCCGTCTGGGTTCATGGCTTGCCGCGTATAATGGTCAAAGCGCTCGGGGTTTGGGGTGTTTAGGGTACTGCGTCCTGAACCCACACGCCGAGAACCTGAAGTTTGGAGTTTTTGGCCTTGGGAGGTTTCCCCTTATACTAACAGTCCTTAATAAAGATTATAATGGGGTGTACTAAAATGTCTATTCAGGACTGTTAGTATAAGGGGGAACATCCCAATCTTAAACCTAACCCCCCCCCCCCTCCCCTCCCACGCACCTTCAAAGTTGAACCTTTAAACCGTGAGCCTCGAAGACCCAAACGACCTGCACTTGTTGCTGCTGCCCTCTCTCTCCCCCCCCCTCTCTCTCTCTCTCCCCCTCTCTCTCGCTCTCCCTCTCTCCCCAGAGACTCCAATGCCCCTTAACTAGGAATATTCCTTAAACCGTACCCTAAACCCTAAACCCTAAACCCTAAACCCTAAACCCTAAACCCTAAACCCTAAACCCCCTTATACTCTTAAGGAAGATTCCTCAAACAAGTGGTATTGGAGTCTCCAGGTCTCTCTCAAGGATTGTCTCTAGGGCCCTTCCGGCTGGTCCCAGGCCCTAGGCCCCGGAAGGGCTCTCGCTCTCGCTAACAACTGAAGGTTCAGGTTTGGGATGTTTAGGGTTAGGGTTTAGTTTTGCGTTCAGGCTGTCACCCCCCCCCCCCCCCCCCCCCCTTTCAGAGGATCACTGAACTCTAAACGGAGGCTGGCGCCCAGGGTTTAGGGTTTAGGTTTTAGGGTTTAGTTTTGCGTTCAGGGTTTAACCCCCCCCCCCCTTCAGAGGATCCCTGAACTCTTAACCATGGACTCGTGGGAGCCTCGAGGTGCTTCCTGCGGAGGCTGGCGCCCGATGAGACGCCAAGGATCAAGCCAGAGGACGCGGCCCCAATATGAAGGGTTTAGGGTTTAGGGTTTAGGGTTTGGGGTTTAGGGTTTAGGGTTTAGGGTTTAGGGACCAAGGATCAAGCCAGAGGACGCTGCCGATGTGGAGTTATTTTTTGAGGGCTACGGTCGAACTTTATTTTAAGAAAGCTGCAAGACTTGTTTAGAGTCTCAGATATTCCTTAAATCGCCAGTTGAAATCAGAAAAGTTGGAAACCTGGTGAGTGTCTGACAGAGATTTCTTACTCGACCCAGGGGGGTTCTTTGGGTAAGGAAGGGGTTTAGGGTTTAGGGTTTGCGCTTTCCAACTTTTCCGGGTAGCGGGGGCAGGCCGGAAAGAAACAAAGAAAATCTGCTGGGAAGCAGTGCGAGAAAGGCTTTGGAGGGCAGTTCTTTGTTTTGGGGGGTTTCTTGGGGTCACAGGTTGCGTAGGAAGTTAGTTGGAAGGCGCGAGATTTGGAGCTTTCCGGCCGTGAGCTCCCCAAATCTTGCGCTTTCCAACTGGTTCGGGTCGACGGCCCGCACCCGGAAAGAATCGAAGATACCTGCCGGAAGCAGCCGTTGCCGCTAGTTTTTTGTGTTGAAAGGCTTGGGCGGGACAGGGCAGTTCCTTGTTTTGGGGGGGGCATTTTTTGGGTCAGGAGGTTGGAAAGTGCGAGATTTGGAGCTTTCAGGCCGTGAGCTCTCCAATCTTGCGCTTTCCAACTTGTGAACAGCCCGTGAACAACCCAGACAAGCCCCCAAAATTGAAATGCACCCCGCGCCATTTCTTGTGTGGAAAGGCTTGGGGGGGGTGGGGGGGGGGTGGGGGGAGTTCCTTGTTTTGGTCTTCTTTGTTCTAGGGCCCCATAAACCCTGAACCCTAAAACCCCTTAAACCCCCAAAGCTCTGGACCCCTACGCCCCCTGAGCTCCCTGAACCCCCCAAATCTTGAAGCCGCATCAGGGCCCGAAACCCTAAACCCTAAACCCGAAGAATGTAGCTCGGTGTTCCCTTACACTCCCTTCGGCTCACCCCAAGCTTCCCGAGGTGTCGGAACCTCTTCCCCGAGGGAGGGTAGCCTATGAGTACGTAGGTTATACGTAGGAAAACTGTTAGGGTTTAGGGCTTAAGGGTTTAAGGGTTTAAGGTTTAGCGTTAGGGTGGCTACAGCCTCATTCAGGGTACTTCTACAGCAAATTCCCAAGAACCTTCAAGTAGGGCTTAACGTGCTTCGGGTTGGGGAGCTCTCTCCCTAGGTGACTCTGCATACCATGATGAGGTCCTTCTGTTTAGGCTACTAGTCTCTCGTTATGATCCTCTTTTTTGGGCTACGTAAATATGAGACGCCGTGCTGTACTCAAGAACCTGTAAAGCTAGCCCGTCTTGAGCCTACTCCGTCCGACACAACGCCCTACATCAGCCTGTAAAAATACGGTTATAAGAGTCTCTAAATTATAGTCCTACATACCCTTTATTTAGGGTCCCTTATAGCGATCCCTCCTTTCGTTCGTAAGGCCTAGTTACTGAACCCTGCGCCATCTTCTTTGAACCCAATAAACCCAAAGCTGCATAACAAGTGCTCCTTTTTTCGGATTGGTGTGGCCAAGCATCTCTTACGATCCCTCAGGCTTTAAAGACCTCTTTTGTTGGAGCCTGGTGGGTTTGTTAGATTTTCAGTGTTTAACCCTAAGCTCTGTAAAGCTTCAACCCTAAGCCGCCTAAGCCCTATAAAGTCCTACACTGCAGGACGGAATGACATCTGGACTGCCCTGCGGCTGTCGAGTGAGCCGAAAGCACTGTAAAGTTGTTTGGGTTTGAAGGATTGTGGGGTTCGGGTTTAGGACGTTTATTTCATTATTTCTGTTATTCTTTTTTTGTAGGGGGGGGGGGGGGGGAATCGGGGGTGTTGTTTTTTTGGGGGTTTTGGGTTTGGGGTTTCAGCTTTTTGGTTTTGGGTGAACTGCGCTTAGGGTCTGTAGTATTCAGGGAGTTGTTTAGAGTCCAGGGTGTGGCGTTTTAAGGGTTCGCCTAGAGTTCTACGCCAAAAAGAACCTGAATACTCAAAATCCTGAATGACAACATTATACCTTGTACTTACCCACTTGTAACCTTATAAAGCTTATCAAGAGGTAAGTATATTTACTGATTTTGGTACACTCCCCACAACTAAAGGGTCCGAAGTTAGCTCCAAGTCTAAATATTGGGATGTTCACTCTTCTTAACAGTCCTTATACAATAGGGATTATAGTAGCGGGTACGAGAGTCCCGTTAAGGACCATTCGTATAAGCTAACAGCTAACAGTCCTTCTAGAATAGGGATTATAATCGGGGGTACGATAGTCCCATTCAGTCCTTCTAGAATAGGGATGATAATAGGGGGTACGATCGTCCCATGAAGGACCGTTAGTATAAGGGGGACCCAAGTTTGGGTCTTGGGGAGCCTGTTGACCTCAACACTCCACACCCAGAAAAGAAGCGAGAAGGCTTCCTTTGCGAGTTCAAGATGAGGGGTTTAGGGTTTAGGGTTTAGGGTTTAGGGTTTAGGGTTTAGGGTTTAGGGTTTAGGGTTTAGGGTTAGGGGGGGGGGCCTTAGCTGTCGCCCTGCTGTGCTTCCTCTCCATTCTCGTGTTTCATCTTGATCATGCCAGCATTCAGGCGCGATTGCAGTGCTGGAAAGACGAGAGTACTGACTCCACCGTTTTGGCTGCTCGTGTGGGAGCGCGGCTAAGGCGCACGCACATCCAAGGGTGAACTGTGGATGTCGAAGCTTTTCTTCGATGAGGAGTATGTCTCAGAATGGAAGGCAGACCAAAAAACGGACAACTGCCACACGACTCCACCACAGGAGGTAAGTGTATATAGACATAGACATAGACATAGACACATACTGATCCTAGTCCAGTAACCATATTACAATCAGCGTGCACTTTTTTGGGTTGGTTACTGTAGAAGGTAACCTTGAACAAAAAAAGGGAAAAGGGTACCAGGGCTACCAAGATTAAACGGGGTACCTTTTCTTCCAGGCCCCGATTCCTGAGACACTTCTGGACCTTCTGGACCTCAACAGGTTTTGGGTGTTGGGTTTTAGGCTTTAGGGGGCAATCTCCAGGCGACCCCAGATAATGCCATCTGGCCGGAGAGGGACGTGGACAAGTTTACAATGCCGCTGCCGCGAGGGCGACTTGGACCAGGAACCTCTTGGGTTCGGGGGTTTAGGGTTTGAGGGTTTAGGGTTTGGGGGGTGAACCTCTTCGTTTCGGGGGTTTAGGGTTTGAGGGTTTAGGGTTTGGGGGGTTGCTTTTGGTCAGGTTTCAGTCAAGCTCCAAATCCCAAGCCCTGAAAACCTTGGTAGCCCAGTGGTACGCGCTTCCCTCTTTTTTTGGTAAGTAGCCAACCCTATGGTTACTGGGCTACCACTGGGAGGTTCATGGGTACTTAGAACCCCACTCATATGTCTACTTGCACAGAGAGCCCAACGCCGCCTTAAGGAAGGCATAGACCTGAAATTATAAACGGATCCTTCAGATGAATTACGGTATATTCCTTATTTACTCATTGGGTAGAACCTACTCACACTGAAAAAAAGTCAAATCGCAACTTCGCAGGGCTACAATACTCCTTCAATCTTCAGAGCTTGCAAGTTCGATGAGCTGCAATAGTCCTTCAAAGAACCCAGAAAGGCCAAAAGGTTTCTAGAGCACCCATCCCCCCAAAACCCCCCAAACCCAAATCCCTTACAACCCCCCCCCCCCCCCCAAAACCTCCCAAAAACCGCCCCCAAAAACCGCCCCCAAAACCCCCCAAACCCCACGCCCAAACCCCCACCAAACCCACCAATAATCCTTCAATTTCTCGGAGCTTGCAATTTCGATGCACGATAGTTTCTCAAAGAACCCAAAAGGCCAAGGAGTACCCCCCAAGCGCCCCCGCGCTCCTCAGAACTCCCCCTCAACACTCCGAACCCCACCAAGCCCCAAACCCCCCAAAACTCAACCCAAAACTCCCCCCAAAACTCCCCCAAAACCCCCCAAACCCCTCAAAACCCCAACCCGTCCCCCCCCCCCCCCCCCCCCCCCCCCCCCCCCCCCCCCCTTTCACACCCCCAACCACCAAACCCCGCAAACCCCCCCAAGACGCCCCAATTTCCCCAGAACCAAACCTCCCCAAACCGAAGTTGGCAGGGTTTCAGCAAAAGCCAAAAAAAAACAAAACAAAAGCACAGCAAAACCCGGCAAGACCCGACAAAAACTCCGGACACAAACCCTACACAATTTCTACAAACCCTAAGCCCTATAAAGCGTAAACCCTATCATCAGGGAGAGTTTCCCGCGTGGACCTCTGTCGCGTGAAGCTGTTAGGGTGGTTTGGGGTTTCAGGGTTTAGGGTTCAGGGTTAAGGGTGCTAAACCCGAAGCCCGAAGCTTCTAAACTCACCGAACCCTGCAACCCGAAGACCTCAGACGCCGCCGAGGTCGAAGCCCGTGCGCGCCAAAAGCATCTTCTGCTTGGCCGTAATGGTGCCTTAGAATATTTTTTCTGGTTCAGGGTTTCGGGTTTAGGGTTTAAGGTTTATGGGGTTTGGGCTTTGGGGTTGAACCCTAAACCCTACACCCCTAAACCCTAAACCCCAAAAGGGTTGAAAGACTTCATCCTTTTCACCTGAAGGGTGGACGTGTTGTTGTTGCTCTTTTCAGGTGCCAATTCGTTGTTGCTTCTTGATATGTTTTTGTTTGTGACTAGGCCCTTGATCTCTCTTTCTTGAGGGTTGTGGTTCCCTTCTACGCCCCGTAAAACCACAAAGGGTGCCCTTTTATTCCTAGGTTACTCTTGGGTCTAGGTTTCCCCTGGCACCCTGGGAGTAGGGTTCAGGATTTAGGGTTTATAGGGTTTAGGGTTTAGGGTTTAGGGTTTGTAAGGTTTAGGGTTTAGAGTTTAGGGTTAGGGTTTACGGTGTTTGTTTTGGGGGATGGTTGCAAGGATTTCCTCGAATGGCGCATCATGTCTCAGACAGCCCACTTGTAGAACATGTCCAGCATGGAATTGGGGATAAGCTGTTTCGGGCTTGGGGTTTGCAGGGTGTAGGAGTTATAGGGCTTAGGGTTTTCAGGTTTTAGGGATTAGGGCGAAGTTCCATAATCGCGCTGTGAGCGGGCCTTCTGGGCGTATTTGGCGGCTTGAGGTTATTTGATCAGGAGTTGAAGCCCGAAGGCCCCCCTACACACCCGTAGATACCGCCCCGAAACAGCCCTAAACCCTAAATCCTGAACCCTGAACCCTAAACCCTAAACCCCGAAACCCTACACCCCCCAAATGCCCTAGAGTTTGCTCAAACAAAAATGGCCCTCTTAGAAGAGGCGAGCCCCCCACCCCCCCCTCGCGTCTTTGCCCGAAGATTTGCATCGGGCTGAAACAGTTCAACCTTCGGCCGCAGGCCCTAGTTTAGGGTTTAGGGTTCAGGGTTTAGGGTTTAGGGTTTAGGGTTTAGAGCGCTAAACCCTAAGTCAACAAGCCCCCAAGTGTCGGGGTGCAGGGCTTGTCCTAAACCATCACCTATAGGCCTCTAATTGCAGTTCTGTTTCTCGGGGTCCAGGGTTTGGGGTTTAGGGTTTAGGGTTTAGGGTTGGTTAGGATGTCATATGAGAATCAGGCGCCCCAAAATGAGGAACTGCAATGGCTTTGCCAGATGGGTTTCTTGGTTTGAAGATTTGTGAACATCCACATATACCCGTGAACCCTAAACCCTAAAGTACGCCCCGCAGGTACCACACAAAATGGCAGCATCAAGGGCACTTGGGGCGTCTAGTAGCTGTAACCACCCCCCTAGATCCCAAGCCCGAAACTCGCAACTCCCAAATCAGGTGCCGTACTCCTACGAAGTAGGCGCCGTGCGGGAGGGGGTGGGGGGATCGAAGTCGTTCTGCATTCTGTCTTTCGGCCCTACACCCGAGACCTAAGCGCAAGAATGTTTCAGCTTCTCCCAAATCTTGACATAAAATGGCTGCTTGAGCCACTTTCTGAGCCAATTGTTGAGGCACATGGTCAGCACAAAAAACTACTGTCAGATGACTCGTATGCTTGTGTATGTATAGATTCAATTTATCCTGCCCTCCGCCTTTAATCTAAGTCTGTTTTTGCTTGGCTGCTAGCTGGTGGTGGGATTTGGCGCCGGAAGTCACCACCCGCCCGCAACCATGATTGCTAATCCTACTACTTACTGTTGGTTAGCAGGGAATGAGGGAATTACGGGCCTACATACCCTTCAAGGGATTATATTATTATATAGGGTACCTCATTCCCTCAAACCCTACTAGCCAACAGTAAGACTACGGCCTACCAAACCCTGAACCCTGAACCCTAATCCCCAACACCCAAGCCCTTCGAAAGCTCCGAACCCTAAACCCTAAACCCTAAACCAGGAAACCAAGGTATACAGTTGCTTAATATTCAAGCTGTGGGTTTCAGGGCTTATGGTTTAGGGCCGAAAAGTCAGGGCTTATGAAGCCAGGTTCGGGGTCTTCGGCCTTATACAACTTCTTGGGGCTTCAGAGTCCTGGGGTCGAAGGCGTTTAGGGTCTAGGGAACCAGGGTTTAGGGTTTTGGGTTTGGGGTCTAGGGTTGTCAGTGGCTTTGCTGGAATCCTCCAGGCCTAATCGCTATGCAGTACAAGCACCACACTGGAATTTTCGCTTGCGACGAGTACCAGGCTGGGGGGTTTTTGCTTTGGTTGGGGAGGGGGGTTTCGGTTAGAGTGAGGGTCCTTAACTCAAAGGCCCTAAACCCCTAAACCCTAAGGCCCTAAACGGTAAAACCCTTAAACCCTAAACCCTAAAACCCTTAAACCCTACACCCGGGTGGGGGTATAATAGAGGTGGAGCAAAGCTAAATGCTACCGCACAGCCGGCACCACCAGCACCACAATCGACCTTGCAACCCCAAAAGATCACTAAGCACTGAACCCTGCCCAGACCCTTAGGATTTAGGTTTTAGGGTTAGGGTTTAGGGTCTAGGGTTTCGGGTTTAGGGTTTAGGGTGTTCAGGGTTTAGGGCTTAGGGTTTAGGGTCTAGGGTTTAGGGCCACCCTCAGCACGACCCCGTTCGGTACACTTCAGTGCTGATGTACTGGGAGGGTCCAGGTAACCCCCTAAGCCCTAAACCCTGAACTCCTTTCCTCCTCATTCTTCAGCCTCGTCTCCAGGTATACAGTAATCAAGCGCTGGTGATCGCTCCTGGCTTGGAGACGCGGAAGGCAGCTTTAGGGTCTAGGGTTTCAGGGTTTGGGGTGTCGGGGGTGTGGGGTTTAAGGGTTTAAGGGTTTAGGGTTTAAGGGTTTAAGGGTTTAGGGTTTAAGGGTTTAAGGGTTTTGCGGTTTAGGGCCTTAGGTTGAGGGGTTTAGGGTTTTAGGGTGTAGGGTTTTAGGGGTTTAGGGTACTAAGGGTATTAAGGGTTTAAGGGTTTAGGGGTTTCAGGGTTAAGGGTTTAGGGTTCAAGGGTTTTAGGCGTTAGGTTAGGGTTTAGGGTTGGGGGCGAAGGGAGGGGGGGGGGTTCAGGACTTAGAGTTCTCAGGCCCCAGATGGTAGAAGCGCGATACCTCAAGATAGTGCACATCTTCCCAGTCTCTGACTTGAGTCATATATCTTAGCTGTAGAATCAAGCCGCAACTACGTTGGGGTTTGGAGTGGAGGGTCTTGAGAGAGACCGAACCCCTTCATCCCTCCCTGTAAGTAGTAGAATTTACAGGGGCTTAGTTAGGGGTTGCTTGCGTCCCCCCCGAAAATACCCTGAATGGTTTTAGGGTTTAGGGTTTATAAGGTTTGGGGTTTGGGGTTGGGGTAAGCCCTTCCGGCGAATACAGCCCCGTCCCTTACGCCTCCTTGGAACCGTATGAATTGGACCCTCCTACCTTCCTCCATTCCCTGACCCCTAAACCCTAAACCCTAAACCCCATGTAGTCACTGAAATATACAAAATCTCTGCCGACTCCAAAATCTGCATCATCTCACTCAAGCCTTTGTATCTGCTGTAGGGCTTAAGGATTACGGGGGTTTAGGGTTTAGTGTTTAGGGTTTAGGTTGGGATGTTCCCCGTTATACGAACAGTCCTTAATAGAGATCATGGTACCCCCTGGACTGGTACTGTAAGGGGAACATCCCAAACAGGGTGTATAGTAGGGTTTAGGGTTTCAGAGTGGCAGGTGATGACCAGCCAAGAATGCGAGGTCGGCGGTGAGTTCAAGCCACGCGGTCGAATTCCCCAAGCAGCCAAAATCCGAGCACCCTACGATTCCGAAGACCCCATAAGACTAAGCCCCTGAAACCCCAAGCCCTCTAGTTCCCAAGTTGTGTTTATGTGCGTGTGTGGGTCTTCTGATTTTTGCGTGAGGCGCATGATCCGCAGATTCCAGTAGTATGAGGTATGATCTCAAATATTTTCATCTTTTGCTCTCTACGCACAGCCTAAAACCGCCACCACCCCTCCGGCGCTTCATAGCACCCGACCCGCATGCCGATAGACATGGGTTTAGGGTTGCACATCAACAACTCCAAGCACGCACAATGTAGGTTCGGATGTCCCTGCTCTTTCTTGGCATTGCAGAAATCGGGAGTAATTGCAATCAGGTTCGGGGTTTAGCGTTTTGGGGTTCTACGGCGGCCTTGCGGTTTACAGCGGAAGAAGCCGGCTAGACACTCCCCTAAACCCTCAAACCTTAACCCTAAACCCTAAAACCCTAAACCCTGCAAACCCTGCAAACCCTGCCAACCCTGCAAACCCTGCAAACCCTACAAACCCTAAACCCTAAACCCTAAACCCTACAAACCTCACGACCCGAACCTTCTTTCCGAGGAGCGCGCTGAATCTTCGGATCTTCGCAGCTTTTTGGAGGCCATGCGAAGTAGGTTTGAGTGTCCAGGCCTGCGATTTTTGAGTGCACGTGTAGGTCCGCTGTAAGTATTAGTGATTGTGGGGGATAGTTACCAGCAATCGCTACCCTAAAGAAGCCCGAAACCCTAAACCCCAAAACCCTAAACCGCCAAACCCTAAACCCTACACCCTAAACCCTAAACCCTCAACCCTATAAACCCTAAACCCTAAACCCTAAACCCTAAACCCTACCACCTGGACCTGCCGAGCTTGCGCGGGCTGGGCCTTTGGTGTTGGGAGCTTCCAGGTCCAGATTTGCAGGTTGCCTGAGGATTCTACACCAGGTTTTGCAAGAAAAGCCTGCCAACAATAGTTTGTTGGGGACCCTAAACCCTAAACCCTAAACCCTAAACCCTAGACCCTAAACCCTAAACCCTAAACCCTAAACCTCTACGGCCCCGGCGCCCGCTAGGCAAGTGATATCCGACGGCCACTATCTGCTGTACAACTGGATCGTCAAGGCTGGGCTGATCCGTGGAACGCTTAGAGGTGCCTAAGGGTTTAGGGTTTAGGGTTCGTTACATGGGCCCTTGATATGAGCCCTTTCCTCCAAAGGGTTCTGAAGAAGGGGGCGTGGGTTGTGTAGGTTATGTAAGGGGTATATACAGAGGTCCCCTGTTAAAGGCCAAAGGCCCATACTAAGGGACCATGAGTCTAGGGTTTACCCAGAGCTGATGCGTTCAAGGCGGACCCCGACACGGTCTTCTTCGTAGATCGACTCCGAGTCGTCCTTGACAAGCACGAAGAAGGCCGGGTCCGTGGTTTGGGGTTTAGGATTTAGGGTTTTAGGTTCAGGGCTTGGGGTTCAGGGTTACAGGGCTTATTCGGGTTCAGGGCTTGTAGGTTTTTAGAGTTGTTTTAGGGCTTAGGCCTTTCGGGTAGGGTTTATGGGTTTGTGGGGTTTATGGGGGTTACAGAGTTTATAGGGTTTAAAAGACTTACAGGGTTTGGGGTGTATCGCGCTTACCGGGTTTAGAGAGTAGGGTTTAGATGTACAACTTACTTAAGGCCCAATTAGGACTCTATACAGGGGGGGGAGGGGGGGTCATGCGGGGGTAGGTACCTACGGAACCTAAGAGAGGCTTAGGGAGCCTTAGGGAGTAGTACTGGGGAACCTTAGGTTACATGCCCTCCCTTAAGAACCCTCCCACCCTACAACTATAGGAAGGGCCTTAGGTACCAGTAAGACAGGGAGGGTGTATAGTCAAGGCTTGATACATCGAGCGTGTCCTCTCGGCCGTATTCTCCAGAGTGCAGAGTACCCCTAAACCCTAAACGCTAAACCCTGAACCGCCAATACCCTGGCACCAAGCTGTGTTGAACCCCAGAACACTCTGCCGACCGTCTCGGGTTTCGGGGTTCAAGGCCTAGGGTTTAGGCCCAAGTTGGACAACAGGCAGCCACGAACCTTGTTGACGAGATTGCAAGATTCCCTAAACCCTAAACCCCAAACCTTAAACCTTAAACCTTAATTAACCTTAGACCCTAAACCCTAAATCCTAAACCCTAAACCCTAGAGAGCATGTTAACCTACTGACCAGAGTCTGCCCTGATTCCCTGTTTTTTTTTTTTTTTTCTTGGGTGGGTGGGTGGGGGTTGGTCTGTGAAACCACACAGGCAAGGGCACCCTTTCTTTTCCTAGGATGCTCTTGGGCCTAGCAACTCGTGTCCTACCGGTGTGCCTCAACTCAATGGACGAAAGGATGGACCTTTGCAAGAGATTTAGGCGTAATGCAGGGCCTCCTTAGGCATAGGAGGGCTACAGCGGGAAACTGGGTATTGCGTGGGGATAATTTTAAATGTCCCTTCTGTCCCTTCTAAGGGAACCTATTACTCATCAATAATTCTCAAAGGGCTTTAAAGCAACACCCAGTCTATAAGATTAGGGGTTCCTTCAAGGGGTCCCTCCTGATATCCAAGCAATCTTGGGAAGCCGTCCATCAGGTTTGAGATGAGTGGTCTTACCTCAGTACCTTAGATTCGTGGCTTTTGGGACCCCCAAAGCGATCTTAGGATGATGAGATTTTGGGGCCCGAACCCCAAACCCGAAACCCAACCACAAAAAGTAGGTGTGTTTTTGACTCCCCTCGCCCCACCTTCATGTATGGACCTAGACCCCCCAACCTCAAGTTGGACCCAGAAATCCTAAACCCACACTGGGTTTGGGGGTTCGGGGTTAAAGGGTCCATAAGGTTTGTAGGGCTTACAGGGTTTATAGGGTTTATGGTTCAGGGAGGGTTTATAGGGTGTATAATATGGTTTTGGGTTTAGGTACAGTAAAAACCCTGGAAAGCACTACCTTTCCTGAGCCCAAAACATGGCAAAGAGCCTACCGCGAAGTGACCTGGAGGCTCCCGTGACTTAGCCAGCACAGGCCAGCCTCTGTGGGGGTTTGCGAAAATAGGGGTTTAGGGTTTAGGGTTTAGGGTTTAAGGTTTAGGGGATAATAGGGGTGCCCTTTTGTGGGGTCCCTTTAAGGGCTTCTATTCTATTTGGGGTGTTGGGAAATACCCATGTGGTCAGTTGTCAAAGTTGTGTGGGTCCCCGAAGTTTTAAGGGGCCGCCTTTTAGTAGTAAGACCATAATGTAGAGAACTGGCAATGTAGTTTCGTGTTTAGGGCTTCAGTTTGCAACCCAAAACCCTCTACTTTGGGGTTTTAGGGTTCAGGGCTACTCAGGGCTTGGGGCCCTGAACCCTAAATCCCTACCCTTGAGGGTTCGCCATCCGGCTCGCAAAAGTGTTGAGGCTTGGGCATGGATCTGACGGGGGTCTGCTTGGAGGTTCATGGTGCTTAGTAACCCAATCATAGCTGTACCTTCATCTTCCTGGGGGCGGGGGGGGGGGGGGGGGGGGGGCCTGGGGACCCTTTTTAAAGATTCCGTAGGTAATAACCCTAAACCCTAAACCCTAAACCCTAAACCCTAAACCCTAAACCCTAAACCGAAGTTTTTGGGAGGAGATCGAGTAGGCAGCATGAGAGGGATTGAGGCTTCATGCTGATGGGGTGTTTAGGTTTAGCCCTAAACCCCAAACCCTAAACCCCAAACCCTAAACCCCAAACCCTAAACCCTAAACCCTAAACCCCAAACCCTAAACCCCAAGCCCTAAACCCTAAACCCTAAACCCTCAGGGTTTCGGAATTAGGTTTTTAGGGAGGCATTAGGGTTTAGGATTTATGGATTCTCGGTTGGAGGTGTTCAGGATTTCGAGCTCCTCGGTGCACTTCCAAAACCTCAGGGTTTATAGGGTTCATAGGGGTTTAGCGGGTTTAGGGCTTAGGGGTTTATGGGGTTTGTGGGGTTTATGGGGTTTAGAGGGTTTCGAGGGTTTACAGGGTTTAGGAGTACACCCTCGTCTTTAAACCCTCAAGCTTTCACTAAACCCTAAACCCTAAACTCTAAACCCTAAACCCTAAACCCTAAACCCTAAACCCTAAACCCTAAACCCTTTCCAACAGGCGTGTACTTAAACAATTGCAAGTTCGGTCTCCACGGCCC